TGCTTATGTGCTTAGTGAATTATCACAAAGCATGGTATCCCGTTGATGATATCCGTCACATGAGGGACGAAAGCTCGGCAAGAATTCTTTGGGATCGCAGGGTGCGCCAAGGACATATTCGCACCAATCTACAATCACAGCTTCAAGGCAATTATCCTACACCTTCCGATGAGGCCAACTTGCTAATCCCTTCCACTCGCCTCTTCAAACGAAATAAAAGATACTCCAAAATAATTTTAAGGATGTTTCATTAGGGTAGCTAAGTTGGGTTTAAGAAGTGGGCGTGTTGGCCCCAGGCCGCCTTTATTTTCTTGGTTCATTGTATTCGATGCGTTTTTCCCCAAAGTATGGTTTCTCGCCCTGACGATCTGTCACATGACAGGCACACAGCTAAGGCTAATCGGGGTCGCAGAACGTTGAACAGAGTACTTCTTCCTACAATCTGACAGTCTACCACACAAGCCTCCTTCAGTTTCCAGTGAGACTATTTCATGAATTCCTTCAAACAAACTTTCCCCCCGAAATGCAAGGTCATATCCCGTAAGGTAATTACATCGAAATTGCTTAAAAATAGCTATTAAAACACTAAATTCACTAAATTCATTGTGGGCGCCTAGAATAGAATTTGTGGCCTAAATACTAAATAATTCTAATTTATTTATTTATTTCACCTCATGGTTGTATACACTCAAGACAGCTTATTAAAAAGTAATTATACATATAGATAAGGCGTCTAACCTTCCAGAAGGCTCCTTGCTTCGAGGTTCACCATCCTCAATCAGTAGCTGTTTGTTTTGACAACTGTCTTCCAGGTTCTCAGCTATCTCGTTTACAGACACACCTTGCACCTCGCGAAAAAGTCGAGTCCCGAGCGTAATTCCGAATGCCGAATCATCCTGAGTCGGACAATACTGCAAGGATGATTGAATACAGATGTCTGGTGATAATGCAGTCGGTCCAAAGTATTGGTCGGAAGTCGAGCGATCCGATCTGTCCTCAGAGTAGAAGTCAAACTTGAGCTCGGAAGAAGTCACCGGTGGCTGGGAAAGATCATAATGGACTACTGGAATACCAGGATCTGTCACAGGCTGCGAAACAGAAGTCTCTGCGACCCAGTCCGAAACGGAACGAAGAGGCGAATTGGCCAACGAGCTAAGGAAATGAAGATATAATTTTGAATAGACGAGAGCATATAAGGCATGGGATGCTTTTCTAGCTGAGCTTTTTGACGCAGCTGTTTATGATTTTTAAATGCCATAAAACGTAAATTCATTAGCATATCAGTTTGGTTTCCTTACATGCTAAAATTATCAAATTTTATACACTGATGTTAGCAATTGTTATTTCTTAACGTAGTTTTTCCTAATTTACATGTCAAATGAAAATAAGTATAGAGGCTAGTTGTCAGTGTATTTTTAAAAATTATGAGGGAGTGCATGTCTACATTTAAATTTCTTTCTAATTAAAAGCGATAAATTGCCATATGGAAAATTCTACATACAAGACTCTATTTAATGACAATAGAGTCGTTTTCGAAATTGGAGCTATTGTTCACGATCGGCCAGCCATTAATATTGTTCGTTGTAGTCCAATGTTTAGCTGTCTGCGGACTACCCTTAACGAAGAAAACCAAAGCCCCAAGGGTTAATGAGGATAGCTAACCTCCGACAACACTGATAAAGGCTCGTCGATACAACCAATTGCTACAAGATAGTGTGATATTATTCGCAAAAAACAATGGGCGCCATAGATAAGACTGAAGTAGCAGTGTCATCTAAATGTAGAACGTGATGCACACATAAAAAACTATGATACACATGTGTGATCATTAAGGAATCGAGCACTAAGATTAAAATTGATCTAGAAATAATATTTAAAAAAAAAAACTATGTATGATGTGATAGTTCGTAATTGCTATTTAAGACAACCAAACATTGCAGGATGCAGACAAGAGAACATTCGGCCTCTTCCACTCTTTTAAATAGCATCAAATTAGTAAGTTGGTTAGTAAATTCTGGAATAAAACATCTACATTTTTTTAACAGCTTACCCATAAATGGCCTTAGTATCACGGCACAGTTAAAAAATGAAAAAAATATTTTTATAACTCGCACACATTTTTGAAAGCTATCAGATTGAGTTAACGATCTGATTATGCGAGATAAGAAAAGATTGCGATCCCAGTCCGTATGAAGTAGCAAGCAGCAACAGATGATCAAGCAGTTTTTTATTAAAACTTACCTTTCTAAAATATTATGTACAGTGTCTTAAGTACCCTTTAACATTATTTTGTTTAACAAAAGGTGTAATGTTCAAAACTATAAGTAATATTTAAATATTAAATTGGTTGCCTTTAATCGCTTAAGGTAGGTTAATGAAAAAAAGTAGAGTTTTTCATGTAAGTGTATGAGGAGACCTCACGACGCTATTGAATTTAAATTACGCTTTTATATATGAAGAACAAAATGTTGTTACCCTCTGTATAATCGTAGTCTTAGACTTGCCTCCCAAAATTTTTCCTCATCCAGAGTAAACTGAAATTTAGACCTAGCTATGCTTAATCAGCAGCCAAAAGGGATTTAGAACCGAATTCGATGCATAATGGAGAAGCGTAAACATTCAGCTACATCCACATGTGCTAGTCGGTCACAGGGTTGGTGTGACCTATAAAGAAAACCAACACTTTAAAAGGAGCGATTTTTATCAGATTCGAGCATAATTTCAAGTCTTACCTGTTGTGATAACTTTAAGGTCTCATTAGCATGAAAAAGGGTTATAGAATGGCGAGCATACTGTTTCATACAATGAAGATGTTTGACCTTATTTTCGCAACTTGGTCATATTTGTAGGACTACTTAGATGAACGCATCTAGTCCGGGCTCCGGACTAGGGTGCATTCCTATAATTCTTCCTACCAATATAACCAAGTTGCGAAAAAAAGGTCAAACAACTTCCATACAACGAAAGGAGACTTCGACCACACCATCTTGGTCTTAATACCTTCGATAAATTGTGTTAATCATGTATTTTTTTAAATATATATACTAGTACTACTAGTCAGAATAGAGTAGAGCATTAACATTGACTACGATTATTAATCAAATTAAATTATAGTCCCTGTAAGAGTTAAGAATGTAAGATAAAAGGCAAACGAGGAAGAATAAGGGGGTTATTGACAGATACCTGAATGAAACAGAGAGATGTACCAAAGAAAAACACCTACCAATCTTTCGGTTAACAGCCGAACGCGCTAGCCCATTGCGCAACTAGGGCTGGTCCAAGCGCATGTTAAATAGTTTCGGTATATAGCGGGTCGATGAGATAATGAAACTCTATATTATACCTACTTTTAGGAATTAGAGGAAGCCTGTGATAGTTAGAGTAGATATCAATTATAATCTCAAGTGGGATCTAGACAGTAATTAGAAAGATTTTTAAAAGCTCTAGGATATGAATAACCAGAGTTTACAAAGGCTCCGATATTTGATAACTGGAAGGCATAATAAGAAATTTCATAGACATGGGATCATAAGACAGCGAGATATCCGATCAATCCCCTTAAATAAAACGGTTTCCATACTGAAGGTACCCAATGCTCCAAATGACGATGAGAAAAGCTAGTGAATTTATCGTCAATTTCTTTATAATCAGAAACAACAAAACTCCAAAGGGTTAAATTTCAGAATATATTCTTGTGGAGCCTGTGAATATGTCGGAGAAAATCTCGGAAGAAACCGAACGGAGGATGAAAATGGAAATAATCCCGAAAAACTATCCAACACCGTGAAGAACTCAAAGGATCCAAAACATTGGACTGTCATGAATTGTTGGCAAGTTTTAAAACACAATACATGTGCAAAAGCATTTAAGGCGGCCCTGCTGTAGAGCTTGGAACGAGAGGTGATCCTGGGAGCAGAGCGGATACGGAAGCAGGCTTTAACACATTT